GGAAGAGGCATCAACAATCCAAATAATATGGACAACGAGAATAATCAGTCGGAGAACCGTTCACATTTGGCTTCAAATATCTTGGTATTACTTGTAAACCATGCTTTACATCATCTTTTCTTCCTCTGTTAGTAAAAGCAATTCATTAAGGGTAATATGGCGGTTTTCTTGCAGGCGGAGTGCAGGATACTTTATTTCAGTGAATGTGGAACACCAGAAAAGGGAGCTCAAAATGGATAGTCCTCAACAGCCATGAGTTTCTCAAGCCCATCTTTTGAAAAGTTTGAGATGGTTATCTTTAGACTAAAAGCCTCCCAATGTTTGTTATTTTATCTCATTTGTTTATATATAGTGTTTGGGTGCTTTCCAAAGTTTTTCAATTTGTTGTCAAAAGACAGAATGGATCTGATGAATTAATTTATAATAAAAAACTGTTACTTTCAGAAATGATATTCCATTGGCTTATGTCTGTGATAAGGTTTCAGCAGTTTCCAAGTTAACATACATGTTCATATTTGCTTTTAGTATTATAGATTTTCATTTTTGATTCTGCAACCAAAATAGCCATGAGTTGCAGTGGAGGGATATTCATTTTGCAAAATTAACTTGTGTGTGCCATTGTTAAATATATGGCTATATATATTATCACCAGCCACCCAAAAAATTAAATGCACGCAGAGGGCAAGGATTCCATTAATACCGCAGTATAAAACCCTTTCGACGCGCTCTTACAGTGCTCTCGTAAAGGAATTAAATTATTTGTATCTATTAGCTTAAATACCGCAGCATGTGAAAGAAAAACTACAAAAGATCGCATGCTAACAAAATTCCATTAATTAACAAGGGAATAAAAATGCCATATAAATAGCATAAATTTCTGCTGAGTAGTGAAATAAAAGTAAAACAATCCAAGTAAATATGCAAGTTCCGTACAAAACAAGTATGCAGCCAGTCTACTCCAGCTTTATGCGATCCATATCAGTTATCATTCCTTCAAACTGCAATAGAAAGTTTAAAAACATTACACTAATGAATTCCAATTAGATTGCTCATGCCAGCACACACACACACACACACAACCAGAGTTTTAACGCTTTCATGTGTCCTATCTAAGTTTAGGAGTTAGGGTTTAGATTTAGGGTTCGTAGTTTAGGGTCTACGATCCCTGAATAGGACACATGAAACATTAAAATCTCGCTGTGGAAAAACAATTTCACCGCCGGTGCATGAAATATAGCCAATATATATTAATAGTTATGATCTATATACCTTGACAATCTGTCGCAGGAAGTAATCACCATATCTTTTAACTGGCTTGGATTCAACAACATGAATCATATCCTGCATCAAAAGAAAGCAAAGCATTACTTGCGATGCTGAAGAATAGAGATTTTCTTTCTAACCTCCAAAGACCAAATATTTAAAAGCCTAATATAATATTATCCAAAACCATAGATTAGCTAGCTTCAGATTAATCCATATATTGTTTTCCAAGAGAGCACGCGGATAAAAGATTGCTAGCACACCAAAATCTTAACCTACATCATCAATGTAGAAGTCCAAATCAGCATTTGAGATAATCTTTCCATCAGAATCAACAGCATGAGTTTTGTGCTTGTACGTAAACAAGATACTCCTATAAGACATGCCGCAGGGTCAGCATACAGTAAATGAAGCAAACATTGAAATAAAAACACAGGATAAGAACATAAAAAATTTGTCAACCTCAGAGTGGGCTCATCCACTTCCATGTAATTTGCAAGCTTCCCAAGAGATATAGTTGAATACACTTTAAGAAATGTCCTGACACCTGACAACAACTGTTGCTGCTTCACTTCATATAGGAACAGCTTCAACTGAAGTCTGTAGGCATCCTGCATGTAAATAAATGGAAGTAGGTAAAAACACACACAATATATATTAAAAGAAATAAGGGCCAAGGGTAAGAAGACCACGCTTAACAACATGCCAAATGGCCTTTTTTACTTCCTTTTCCTGACAATAAATAAGTTAAGGAAGATATTGCATTGTCTAGGGGACAGAGGCATAGAGATCCATCAAATGAAGGTACACAAATTGCTGGAACAGAGATTGATTGTGGAAAATTAACCATCTACTAACACAAAATAAATCAACATTAATTAGGCCTAAGCTATACATCCCCATTACTGTGAATCTAAAACATGAAATTACAGATACATTCTTTTCGTTAATACATAGGGTGCAAAACCTCAGTTCATTTGTTTAGAAGGCAACTATTAACAATAAAAGAAATATGAAAAAGATTCGCTGAAGTTTATGTGACATAATCATGTATGTTGGATAACTAAAGGAACAGGCACAAATGATTTAATTAATGTACTTTCACCTAAATCATTCTTAAGATTGTCTAAAAAAGATAAAACCGTTACCTGGTTGTAGTTTACAAGGGGTTCCTCAAAGCTAGGCGCTGAAGGTGTAATGAACTTAGGACATGCATATGAGAAGAGCTCGTCGTAGATGGCAAAAGCTTCGTCATCATATCTTTGCATCCTAGACATCTTTTCACCATACTTCTCTCGCAACTGAGAGTTCACAGTCTCCTCAACAAGTTTTGCTTGGGGACAGAGTGAAAGACAAATTGCCAGCAAGGCATACATCTGTTCATTCTTTTTCAGTATTTGTTCATACTGAGGAGATTTCTCATGAAATTGCTTTATCTTGTAAATATACAAGAGAATCTTATTGAATTCACGAATAGCCTCCACATACCTATAATTAAGATTTATATATATCATAATCAAGCTAAGTTAAAAAAGAACTAAAGTTGAATAAAGCTTTCATAAAGGAGGAAAACATTTACACCATTAACAAGTAAAACAAAAATATACCTCCGCATCATAAGATTGGCAAAACCATAATGATAAATGGTAGCAATATGACTTCCTATAACGCTGGTGTAAACACCTTGTTGACTAATGTCAATAGGAAGCAGGCACTTCAGTCCGGTTTGGTAATCACCCAGAAGACAATGAACTCGCAACAAACCCACCATACTAAAGTATCCCAGCACCTTCAAGACATTGCTTCCACCACTGTAATCATACCCATCAGTAGCTGTAAATTGTTCACCACCGTCCTTCTCCTGCTCCAATATCTGAATAATATTTGACTTCTCCACAAACGCTTGCAAGTAATTGAGCACCCCATACACATTCCATGCCTAAAGGGATAAAATAACTTAAAAATCTCCACAACGCTAACAATAACAATACCAAGAACTACTATTAAAATTACGTCTCCATATATACTATACTCGTGGAAAATTGAATTACCTGGTCAAATTGGCGGAGAAGAGCAATTTCTTGCTCAGTTTTGTTCTTCATTTTAGCCCTGTATTGACAGAAACTTTGGAATTGGTATACAAATTCATCCACCATGTCCCATAGCCATTGATTTGGTAATTGCATGTTAACTACCCTATGCAACACCACCTAAACGAAAACCAAAGTAAAAATAAATCAATCCACGACACAGCATCATAGATACGGACGCAAATTAGAAGTAATTACCTGAAAGAGGCTACAATAATTATCCCAAGAATCAATCCTCTGCTTGAGAGTAGGGGATAGGCGAGCATAGAGGTGGCGAAACCACATCTCACGGTAAAGGAGGCAAAATACTTGGTCGTTATCTACGTAATGAGCAACGGCATCAACGGAGGGCCAAGGAGTGTCTTTAAAGAGACGATTGGAGAGCGTTTGGAACGAGATCTCATACATCTGGTGAATCTCGTACACATTTTTCTCACGAATGTGACGGTAAAGGTGGACGACGAACGACTTAACGGAGTCGGGGACAAAGTTCGGGTCGTAGCCAAGGTCTTGTCGGTTCACATCGTCGTAGGTACCTGGAGCCTCCTCGTAATCGTAGTTGGCTGCCATGTTTGCAGAAGATCGTAGCTGAGGACCTCGACAAAGAGATTTGGGAAGAGAGTATGGATTGTGGACTGTGAACGACTGTAAAAGAAGAAAGATATTAGGGTTTAACGAAGAAAGAACGTTTTGGGGTTTTGGGCTTTCAATTTTGTTTTAGACCAATCTTTCTCGAAACAAAAGAAGCCCGTCCCCGTTCTATATGTTGGGCTTTGACAATTGGCAAAGTAATGAAACTTTTTCACTAGCAGCCTGTTGGGTAATTCACGATTTACATCATTAAAATTAGCTTTTCTACTCTCATATGTATCATAAATCTTTAATTTAATTTTTATTTTAACAAAATAATTTATTTGAATTGACATAATTAAATTATGTTTAATAAAATAAGTTATTTTTACTCCATGTTTATTGTTTGATACCGTTGTTCTCATGAATATGCTCTCTGATGGCAACGATACCTCTACTTCTGCTAGAATCTGGTCTTCAGGCTCGACTGGACAATCCAATCCTTTTGACTCCTCAAATTCAGTCAGCAGCAGCAGAAACAGAATTTTCATGTGAAAGGAACTGCACCAGACATGGGATCGCCTTGATATATATGAGCAATAACATGATCAAGGCACAAGTTCTGCCAGGAATGGCCAGAAGGTTCAGTATCAGCAGAGTTTTCATGCAAATGGAACTGTATCAAACATGGCATCACCTCGCTATGAGCAGTCATATGCTCAAGGCACAAGTCCTGCCTCGAGTGGCCAGCTGTGTCAACAGCAGCAGCCCCCTTTCACCTGTCTATGGTTTGTTTCTGTTTATAACAGGTTTTTTTATGCTTAAATTAGATCATTGTATTTTTCAGGTAGACACCCTTGTAAGTAACAGCATGACACATTTTACTCTAGGAAATCATTGATTTAGTTTGTACATCTTATTATTTTTAGTTCTATTATAATCTCTCTCTTTTTCACATATAAATGTGTCAACCTAAACTAAATCGTAAAATGGTGACGCCGAAAGAGAATAAAATAAAATAATAATAAAATGACCGCTGGAACCACTTCAATACCACGCAGAGTTCATTACATTATTCAAAAGTACAGTTCCAACAACAACAAAACAGTTACAGAAATCATAACTCGAACGATAAATACAACTACTTGAGGAACCGGTCGAACCAATCACTCGCTTCTTTCACCATAAATGGTGTCATTTGATGCCCAGTTTCAGGCTGTGCCATGACCTGCAGAGTCGGGATGCAAAAAAAGATATTATATAAATTATAAAACCATCAAAACTCCAGTGAAGCTGAAATCTCATCGTAAATACTAAACTATGCATTCCAAGATGGAAAACAAACATATGCATCTATCACGTCAATTTCTAAACACACATGATAGCTTGAACGAACAATCTTGCTTATTGGGGTGTATTTTGGACAATTCAGAGTTCTTTAAATTCAATCCATACCTTGAACTTATCTGAACAATGGGTCTCTTTATAGGCCTTGCCTGTTCTTATCTTGGGAGTTTCTAGGCCAGCGATGGGGCAAGGTCATCTTTAGCTCCTAAAGGTTGTCAAAGCCGATGAGAAAAATTAAAGGCGAGTATAAAAAACCAACAGTAAAATTAAAACTTCCAGAGCAATTCATTTATCCGGGACCGTGCATCGAACTGGGAGGCTAGACCAGGAGCAATCCTATCCCAAACCTGGTCAGAAAAGTAGAACCATAAATGTGATCGACATCAGGTAACAACGAGATAAAAGGTCACGGGCTTGTAAATTTAAGTTCAACTATTTACATAAAATGATGTTCAGGATAAGTGTAACATACAAAATAAGACAAAGAAAGGGCATCAAAAGACTTTAAAGAAGGGCTAATAGTTTTATGAAGGGCCAATTGGCATAAGTCTGCAAAGGAGCAAGAAAAAATAACTGACCTTCTCCACCACTTTGTCAATTTTATTCTTGCCTAAATCGTTCCTGGCTTCTGTAACAAATTTATTTAAAAATGTCAGAGAAATCAAACATATTGAAAACAAAGCTCATCACATTATTTTCCAGGAATCTTAGTGCAAAATACCTTCAAAGACGGCCTTAATACTGTTAACTCGAGCCTCCCACTTGTCATTCTCTATTGCCCATCGAAATCCCTTCAAATATATAACATGATATTGCTTAATAACTAGAAAAAATGATGGGAAAAATGCTTACATGAATTGTAAATTTCCTATTACCTGAACACCAATAATTGGGGCTGCCACTGCATAGCGGGTGTCCGCAAAAGCAGCAAGCCACGCATGCATCCTGCATTCCATGATATTCACATAAACTCAATATACAACAATGAGCAAATATTTAATATTTCAGTCCTTCAAATCTCAGTCAACAAACCTCCAAGTGATTCGCCAGTAATCCCAATCTTACTAGGATCTATGTCCTCTCTCTGCGTTAAATAATCTGCAAGCTTTATTAAGTCCCAAACCCGAAATATGAACAACCTTAAATGAACTGACATGCTCAAAAAAGAAAAAGTCTTAAGGACTAAAATCATATTGACAGCTTAAAGTATCATCTCTTACAATGCAAATTAAAGAACAGAACTTCAACAGTTTCTCACAACCGCAATTATCTATCAAAAAATTATTACAGTAACAGAGCACATTGAACATATAGATAAATCCAATGGAACACGAAGGGCTCACTGTATCGAATATAAATGGCATTGTAACATCCTAATTATCGGGTCAGTGACCAGAATGTAAGATTGTTAAACTCAGTGGTTTAATTAGAATAATTTAAAAAATTTAAGGATTTATGGTAGAATTTCTACGTAGGACTTGATAGAAATTTTGGTTTAGTGCAAAGGGCATTATGGTCTTTTTATGTTAAAGGATAATTATCTCATTTATTAAGGATTAAGCACGTGGAAAATGGAGATATCTGGAACCTTTCTTGCTCTCTTCTTCTTCGTGTCGTGTATTTCTCCATTAAAGGTAAAATTCTGAAATTTTTGGATTTCCTTTAAATCTTGGTGTGGTAATGAAAGTTTGGATGTTATATAAGCTTAAGGAAAGCTTGTAATATATTAAAACAACAAGATGAGTAAATTAGAAAAGGATTTGTAAAATGGGTTTTGAAATAATTGTTGATATAGTGTAGTTTTTGGAGTTTTACTTAGATATTTGACTTGTCAATAATCCATTTAAGAAGGTAGGAGTAATATAAATGATTAAGAATATGTTTGAAATATTTATATGATTTTGAGATTTAAGTGTTTAGACAAGATTTTGGATAATTAAGAGTAGTAAATGAGGACAAGTTGGTTTGGAAGTATAAGGGTGAGCTTAAGGGCTTAATGTGTGATGAATATAAGAGATTTAGGAGGATTTTGGTTGATTTTTTAATTGAAAATAATCATTTGGGCATAGAGTGTTGGTACCGTTAGAACAGTATCGATACTTCAAGGGTTAAATATGTGGTTTTCTAAGGGTGATATCGATACCGGGTGAAGAAGGTATCGATACTGGGTTGGTAGTATCGATACCATGAGTATGTTATCGATACCATTTTCAAGATACAATTCCAGAACCTCGGAATGATATTGGTACCGTAATGAGGTATCAATACCCCTGAAGGGAAATATCGGTACTGTAGTGGTAGTACCGATACTTCTAGGCATGAAATGAAAATTTAGTGTTTCTTTCATCATAAGTTATTATGATTGGATATAAGTGATTCGAAGTACGATATTGATTTTCAATTGTTTTGTGTAGTTGTTGAACATAAGCAACTTCCGGTCAGCTCGACATTTTAAGTACCGATTCAAAAGTGTTAAGGATTTCGCTTAGGACTTCAGTGAGGCCAAGGTGAGTGTAACTTCTCGATTTTGTAACATAATTGAGGAAGGCTTGCGATAAACCAACCTCAGTGTTTTCTATCGAAAACTTTACAATTTCTTTTATGTTATATTTCAATAATTTATTCAATTTATATTATATAAGTTATGTTTTATGATTATATGATTATGGAAATGTGATATTTGAGCAAGTGTATCCGAAAAGACTCTATGTGAAAGTAACTATGTGAATAAGAGACACTTCGAATAATGATTGAAATAATTATGTGAATAATAGCCCAAGGTATATGTATGAGGATTAGAGGTATAATTGGCATGCCAAGAGTCGAGGGTTTTATGTGGTCATTCGGGACAATTATGTGGCACTTCGGTGCAAACCTATGTGGTCCTTCGGGACAATTATGTGGGAATTCGGTGCAAATTACGAGTTGTGGTGACAACATTAGTGCACAACCTCAATGTACTCAAATACCTAGAGTTCTCATTAGTTTACATTGGGCATTTGAAACAAAGCTATAGAAAGTGAATAATATACATAAGTGTACCTTTTTGAAATGGAAAATAATGGGAGTTCTTTATAAAATGTTTCGATAAAAACAAATAAGATTTCGTTTATCAAGTTAGTACTCTAGTATTTGCCTCACTAAGTCACCAACTTAGCGCGTGATTTCCTCACGCATAGGTTTGAAGAAAGCAGAAGACTGAGTTATTGAGGATAGCATACCTTGTAAAGATCATATCAAGACGAATTAAATGTAGGTTTTTGTTAATTTTGTAAACTGTTGGCATGGATTTTACGTTTAATTTGAAATGCTCTAATCTATTTTATAAACTCATATATTTTGTATTTATGTAAATTATAATAGTTTTTACATAAATATGAATGTGAAACTATTATCTTATTTAAGTTAAGGTTTATACCTTTTTATCTTGATCAAAAATTTTAAATTATTCTTATTTGTTAATTACATCTATTTTGAAAAGTTAACGTGACACCTCGGATTCGTATCCGAGTCGAGTACGGGTTAGGGGTGTTACATGCATCGTATCCCCATTTTTCCATGATGATACCAGAGCCTGCAGATAGATAGCCTAATCGCATTATAACCACATTCCAAGCGGTTTATTTCAAAATATAATGACAAAATTGTACACATAAGAACTAAAGCTTCTAAGAACTTTTCATGGGTACCCAGTTCATTAATACAAGCCAATTAAACTAGATAGCCCTGGTTAAAGAAAAATAAAAGTAAGACAGAATTTACATACATCTTTACAAGTGGTTAGACCAGTGGCACGTTCGCCGTGGTAGCGGGAATCGACAGCAATGGTTACATATCTCCGTGAAGCATAAGCCTGAAACAAGAAAAAACAGAACTCTCCGTATCAAATTATAGCTAACGAAAGAAGAGCCGGAGAAATTCAAAGGTTAGGTTTCAGCTTTACCTCAAGCAATGGACTTAACCACTCTTTGCATTCATGTGTACTATGCAGAAAAACAACAGCAGGCCTACTTCCGATATTGCTTTCTTTCATGCTTACTATTAACAAGGGCAATTTCCCTTGATCTCCTGCCTATAAATGACCAAATACAACTGGCTTTCTTCAATACATACTTACATATATATTATATATATACATGTATATATAATTAAGTTAGCTTATATTAAAGTTTTTTTACTACCTCGGTATAGAAATAAAGATTTTCCTCTTTAAGTGGTTCCTTAAGGTTTTCAATGTTGGCCTTTGGACAAGACTCCATTGCCTGGTAAAATTGCATGAAGAAATGTCAATGAAATTTTTGTTTTTGAATATGTTGTTAATCACAGTAAAAAGAATATCATCAAGGATGATTTTACCTCACTGAAAGTTGGGGGAGGAACTTCTTGATAAAGAGGGTAAACTACAAGATTTGCAGGTTCCACAATCAAAGGAACTGAGAAATTAAAGAAAAAAACATTAATAAATTCCCCATAGACAAAGGAACAGTGTAGGAAACATGTTTTGAGAAATTTATGGGTTTCGATTTAACCTTGAGAATTTCGTCTACTACGAAGTAGTTGCAGGAACTGAGATCGAAGTGTTTCACCATCGCTAACTGTGCCGTTGACTTCCATTCCTGCTGCACTCACATTGCTGCTTGCTAAGTTTACAATTTATAGGGAATGAATTTTGGAAGGTGGGCTCGCACGTGTGATATGTGAGACACGTGTCTCGTAGTTGGAGCACAATTTTTATTTTAGATATAGTAGGCCGTGGAAGGTGAGAAATCAGAAAACACCATTCTTCTTTATTATGGAAATAAGAAAAGTATAGTGTAATTGTAATATAACATACAATTACAAGTTTAATGACTAATGTCGTAATTTAACCTAAAAAACCCAAACCATTTAATATCAAAAGGAAGGCCCAAATGAAAATGTAACAGTTTTTGCTTTTGGGTACATCATTGTAACGTTGTTCTGGGTAAGGGGGGGGGGGGGGAAGAGGGACGAAACGAAGAAAAAAGGGCCCTCATGCCATTTCTTTTAGCTTTCATTTCAGTTCAAAGGAAATCCAGATTGCTATGTTGCTATGAAGCTCCGCCGTTGACCAATTCATGATGACACTCTGAGCAATTTGGACAGTTGCAGCTGAAGGATAATGGCGATGGTATAAATTTGGTGGTTTTGCGTAGTAAAAAATCACAGCTTCATTTTGCCACCATGATCATGCAGAAGATGGTCACATTTTATTCATTAAACAATCAATTGAAGGTTCAAAATATGAGAAATGGAACAGCCCAAGACGAAAGTAGACTTTTATATTTAAGGGTAAATTTATAATTTAAAAAAAACGAATTTATAAAATTTTAATATGATAAAAATATATCTAAAATACCTGAAAATTAAAATTTTCAGGAGCTATCTCTTGGCCGCTTCTCTCAAGATTCATCATCGGTCCAAAGTGTATTTGTTTCTTTTTATCGTTTATCGTTTGTAACTTTTTTTTTGTAATTTTCCTTCAAGCTTATCTTAATTAAATGAAAATCACTTTATATTCGGCATTATTTTGACTGGAATCTACTTCTGCAATTAATTCATCCCCTTAAATTGTGCAACGGTGATGGCGAATAAACAAGTACCGCAAATTTTGGCTTGGAAACCTCACTGTTTCTTTAGTCAACTCTGGGTGCCTTTTTGCGTAGATACCAAATTATGCATTATAAGAATAAAAACACATAGTCTACCTGTCTGAACATCTCATTAATTCTTTAAAAATGGACGAATTTCTTGAAAAATCACTCTAAACCTTTTTTATTTCATGTCAGACATCATTTAAATTTTATTTCTTAATCTAATACTTTTTTTTAGAAAGACGCGCGTCTTATGTCACGTGGGGTAAGGCACGACCTTAAACGCGCTTTATGAAACGTGTAAAAAATAGGGTGTTAATTTTGTAAATATTTTTAAAATAGTGCCAAATATGTAATTAATTTATGTTATGATGATATTTATGTAAAAATGTCAACTTTATTTATTTATTTTTATGTGTAAAAATTTTTTTTACATTAAAATCTTTGAATATTATTTTACAAATTATTTTATAACTCGACAAATTTTGATTTTTGCATGAAATTACACAATATGTATAATCTAGTATAGGAAAACTTTGAGGGTAAGTATTTTAAAATATGAATAATTTTATAAAAGTTTTATAACTAGTATTTATTTTTCAAAATGATGATGATAATAAATATTTTATAATTTTATAAATTATAAATTATATATATATATATATATATATTTTAAAAATAATTTTATATTCTTTTTGTATTGAATTTTATTCATTTTTAATTCTTTTTATTGACTTAAAAAAAATAATTCATTTAATCTATCAATTGTAATTAAAATTTTATTTTAATATTTTATATTTTTAAACAATTAATATTAAAAGTCAATAAACATTATTAATTTTTAAAAAATAATATCACACAAAAAATAAATCAATAAAATTAACGTTTTTATTGATTTTATTCACTTTTACTTTTTTTATTATATTTTTGTTGATTTTTAAAAAATAAATAATAATTCATTTAATCTATCAATTGTAATTAAAAGTTTAAACGATGTCTAAGTGGGAATAACAAAATTTGGGTTGATTTTCCGGAAAATTCGCCCAAAAAAATGTCAATAATAAAAAAAAATCAACTTAGTGTCTGAATGTTTGTGATTAGGCTCAAGGGACTGTGTGCTCTGAACTGTTTTAAAGTATCTCACTTTATTGCAAGATCTCAAGCAAGGCCATTAAAGAGATTCCTTCAACATCACCTTTTTTAACTCTCCACTTCGACCCTTTATTCAAGGCAAATGAAGATCTGGATAATGTTGTTGACGCTTTTCTTCTTCGTCTTTTGAACTAAAAGCTCTGAGATCAAAGATGATGCTGGTTACCTCTCCTCTGTGACCTTCGGGAAAGAAGACCGAATACCCATTTTCCATTGCAAGGTAATTCGGCTGCTCGTTTTAGTAAGATTGGTGTTTTGGCAAATTTTGGTTTTTGAATCTCATTGTTTTCAGTCAAATCTGATTCTGTAAATGGGGTATCTGGTTCGTCTTTAGTTGCTTTGTCTTTTGATACATTTACAGGCATCATTAGGGTGAGGGGGAAAATTGTGATTTTGAAAATGGATTCGCGTTGCTGAATGTATCCGGTAGGATTGGTTTGATATTTAAAATAAGATATATTCATGGATGTGTAATGGAGCAAGGGGAATACATTGCATATATTGGTAAAGCAAGCGAGCTTGTGATGAATTTAGTTGCTGTCTTAGTGGTGATTTTTTTAATTGATTGAGGAGTAAACCAGATTAGAAATTGATGGCATCCATTAGAAGAACACTGTCTCCCGTGCCTCGACATGGGACTTTAATTGCCGGAGAGGCTGAACGTTCAGCTCCTTCTCCTTTGTCCAAGTCTTCATCATGTAGTCAGAATTCCCCAGCCACTGTTGGATTGCCAATGTCTCCTTTCAGTTTATCGGATTCTCCATCCGTATTTTTCGGTCTTTTCTCACCAAGGTCATATAGGCAACTTGACAGGTCAAAACAGAAAGGACAAGCTTGGAGGAGGGCTGTTTTTCACTTCTCCATTTGTTTCATGGTTGGTTTTTTAATTGGATTTACACCATTCATTTCCATGGACTTTTCCTACATGAATCCCATTTCAAAGTACCAGGCATTCTCTTTCGAGGTAGTATCGACTGTTGGGAATTTTCAACCACACAACAATTCTGAAAGGAATGTAACATCAACGATGAACAACCCAGGGATTGGTAATAACTTCACACTGGAGGGATCGGTGCAAAGACAGGAAATGAAAGAAGGGAATTTAGATAACACCCTGACTAATTGGTTGCTCCCACAAGATATAGATCTGGAAACTCGTAAGCTTTTGATAGTTGTGACTCCAACACATGCTGGATCATTTCAAGCCTATTATCTAAACCGTATGGCATACTCATTAAAGCTGGTCCAACCTCCTCTATTGTGGGTAGTTGTGGAGATGACCTCACAGTCTGATGAAGTAGCTGACATCCTAAGAAAGAGTAGTGTAATGTATAGGCATCTTGTTTGCAAGAAAAATCTGACTGATATAAACGACAGAAGAGTTCACCAAAGAAACGAGGCACTATCTCACATTGAAACTCATCGTCTTGATGGAATTCTCTACTTTGCCGATGAAGATAACATATACTCACTTGATCTCTTTGAGCAAATGAGGCATATTAGGTATCTCTTTTATATTTTTATTTTCTGTCAAGTTGTATTCTTTAAATGATCCCTTTTATTTGTGCCTACTACAGCATTTTTTTCTTCATTATGGGCTTTATTTATAGGCGATTTGGGACATGGATTGTGGCCAAACAAGCATCAGACAGAAATAAAGGTACATTGGACGGCCCTGTTTGTAATGGAACTCAAGTCATTGGATGGCACCTAAATGGATCAAGTCGGAGATTCCGAAGATTCCATGCTGAGATGTCAGGGTTTGCCTTCAACAGTACCATACTCTGGGATCCAAAGCGATGGCACCGACCTACTCTTGAACTGATAAGACAGCTTGACACAGCCAAAGATGGTTTCCTCGTTAGTATCTATTGGCTCTTCTTTGGTTGCCCTTAAGTTTCTTATTGTTTCACCTTACTATAGTGGTCACAGCTGTCGTTATTTTTGGATAAATATCAGAGATGTTGACATTTACTGCATCTGCCAATTAAATCAATTTTGGTTGTAACAGTGAGAGAAAAGGATGCCAGCAATGATAAGACAGCTTGACACAGCCAAAGATGGTTTCCTCGTTAGTATATATTGGCGCTTCTTTGGTTGCCCTTAAGTTTCTTATTGTTTCACTTTACTATAGTGGTCACAGCTGTTGTTATTTTTGGATAAATATCAGAGATGTCATTTACTGCATCTGTCCAAAAATTATCCTTTGAATTAGTATTTTGCACTGTAACCTATATTGAAATGCTACATACTGGTGATGGGGATTTCATTTCAAAATTTTAACATTATCGATTTGAATTTGCAGGCAAGCTTGTTTATTGAACTAGTTGTGGAAGACGAAAGCCAGATGGAAGGCTTACCGCAGGACTGCTCAAGAATCATGGTTTGGGAGCTTAATGTTCAACCATCTAATTCCTTCTATCCCAAAAAATGGTCAACGAAGAATAATCTAGACATTATTGCTCCACTTGCATGAAACTCAGTACGTGAAAGGAGTTAATTTTGGTTGGCATGGTGTGTGTCGATTCTTTTCAAGTACTCAAAATACATGCTAAAAAAGTTCCACCTATGACATGCTAAAAATCTAAATGGAAATAAAAGCAATTGTATATTAACTCAAGTTCAGTGTACTCATCGTTGAAGTGAGAAGAATGAATATAAAGGAAAACAAAGCAACATAATGAAAAACCAAACTTTTAGCTGCATTCCCTGTTTCAGGTCCTTTTTCTTTCAAAGTTTTGCCCTGCTGGGCTGATTCATCGAACAATGAATGCTGCATTAGTGCATTGAGATTATCCACCTCCTGACAAGCAGATTTTGCTGGATTCAACCTATAATGGGGTTTCGAATTGTAGCAAGTTAGCAACTTATTTCTAATGATCTTATTCAAAAAAAAAATTTAATGATTTAAAGCAGTATATACAGTACATGCAGGAATGATTAATTGAATGTCTGAAGTTTTATACCTTAGTTTTGATTTATCTGATTTTTCATGTTCGTTGTTGCAGGAAAAGATTGCAAAGAATTGCATATAGTTGTCATCGAAGGAGACTTGTATCTCGACTGAAACCTAAACCAAGTGGCAAACAATTTCCAATTGATGATGTACTTACCTTATAATCGAAAATCTGAGTAATTTGCAGACAAGTGTAAACAAAACCTTTGTCTGGTTTATTATTTTTCCATTTCCGCATTGCCTGCCGAGTTTGGTTGAGAGAATTTCATAGGACTTGCAAGGAGAGGGTGGCCAAATGGAAACCATCCTTGTGTAATGCCGACTGTAACTTTACTTTGGCTCTCATTCTGGTTTTAGCTAATAGCTATTCTTTGGGGGGCACATCTGAAAGCAAAATTTGATTATTCGCATGCTATTACCTCCATATCTGCCTTTAAGCACAAATTTTCTTGCATGTCTCTTATAATTTATTTGATGCAGCTGTGAATTCAGCTGCAAAAATGCCATGTCATAGTAGATAGGGTGACAATTGCCCTGAACTTCTTAGTACTGGCTTAGAACAGGATGCTAGATTGACTACATTAAACAACTATAATGGTTCCATATTAGATGATGAGTTTAATCTTTTGTTAGTTTAACAATGAATGGTTTGTTCCATTCTTCTCTTTTTTTTTCAGTAATAAACTTCCATTCTCGGAAGAGACAAGTAAAGGGAGCAAACGATTCTTTAAAAGTTATGAAGCTGGCAAAACTTATGAAGGCAAACTCTACCATCGTGACATGTTAAACTGTAAAAAGATTCCTACTTTGATACCTTGAAATGTATTTCAATGAAAGGGTTGCTCAATGATTACAGTATTCTTTAATTAAAGAATTATCCTCTTAACATCCTAAAGTCGATATGTCCGAGTGGTTAAGGAGACAGACTCGAAATCTGTTGGGCATTGCCTGCGCAGGTTCGAATCCTGCTGTCGACGCTGTTATAAATTTTCTTTACCCTCCTGTATTTATTAGGCACCTTTGCACGATGTACGTGAAGGGTTGCAGTAAATAAAACTTTTACTACATTAATCTCTCTTAACGATTAGCAATGCTTCGTTACATGAATTAGCTTATCATATATATAGAGAGAGAGGTTTGCTGCAATTGTATTGAGATGTTCAGTAAATTGTTATCGGTTTTATTCTTTCTTTACGTTGTTGACATGCCTTTAAGATATATGCACAAAAAAGGGTATATGAATTCGGGAGAATGAGTGCAACTCACTTCATTCTCTTCTTCAAATTGTGCTCTTTTCTTCACCATCTCAACAAACCCATGGTTCCATGTCCAATGATCATTATTTTCCCAACCTAGAGTTGATCCTTCTCGCATTGCTCTATGGCTCCTTCATTGCCTGCGTTCTTCTCGTGGCTTCCTTTCTCATTCTAATCATCTTCTTGCTCACTTTCTCTCTCTCCATCTTCTCCATTGTTTTCATCGATATATTTAATTTATTTTCCTTGTTTTCTCAGTTCGTTGGATCCATAGAGGCTGATGTTGAACTGGGTTTCGTTCTGATACTTTGTTTGTTCTTTCAATATGCTATTACGCTGCTTCGGCTTCAAAGCCCTCATTTTGATCGCTTGGCTTCTCAACTACGAGTTACCATGAACCGTCTCGACGCTCGGCAGCTGGTCAACACCAGAAGAACGCAGTCGTAAATTTGACCCCCAAAAAAATCAGTAACATTTATATTATTGCATATATAGAAGAATCATTATAATCATCTAAAGTATGCATGCAACTCAATAATATTCATTTCATGCACTGTTATTTTGCCCGTCTAATCTTACACCGTCTAGTTCTTCTGTATTATAGGATATTTGGTTTAAAAGATGATTTTAATTCCGATAAAGTTAAGAATATATATTTATTTGATAAGATATATATATTTATGATTATTTTTTGTTATAATCATTGATATCCGATCTATTAATTGATTAATTCGAACAGTAAAGGCGAAGGCGACTCTCCTAATCGAGTTTGCTCCATTCACAAATGCCAATATTCAAACTCCTGATATTGCTTAAAGAATCTAATGTCTCATCCCACTTAATTAATTAGTTGTTGGTATATTATTTATAATTTTAATGATCACATTTGAAATTTTAAAATATTATCATCTAAATTGAGATAAATTATTCATTAAATAAAATTAAGTTAAATAAAGTATATCTTAAATAATATAATATATGTTAAAAGAAATTAAACTTTTAATAATGTGTTCATATTTTACGTACGCACACTGCTCGAATTTAGTATACAAAATACTCAAAACGGATAATTAGGATACAAGTTGCCATTTGCCGGTTAATCTCTAGCCGTTGCCTTTGGCGGCGGCCCCAACCCTGCTTCACTTAATTTTTCAGGTTAACTACCCTATTCACCACTGTACAATGACTATGTTTTAGTTTTGATCACTAAACAATTTAAATTTTGGGTAAATTATACGTTTGGTAACTAAACTTTACTTCTCTCCTATTTCACTCACTGTACTTTCAATTTTTTAATTTTACTCATTGAACTTTATAGATTGATTTTTTGTCACTCCTCCGTTAAATGATTAAACGACGTTATGACATGAAGACTTACGTCAAAGCATCGTCATTTTGAATTCTTCAAAAAAAATATTAGACTAAAACGACATCGTTTTGATTCAAATACGACCATGCCATAACGTTGTTAATTTTTTAACGGTAGAGTGACAAAAAAATTCAATCTATAAAGGCAAGTGAGTAAATTGAAAAAAATGAAAGTACTGAGTGAAATAGGAGAGATAGTAAAGTTTAATTACCAAACTTGTAGTTTACCCTTAAAATTTTTAATTGGAATAAAAAAATAAATTTGTTTATTTATATTTACACATTTAATTAATATAATCTTAATTTTAAATAATTTAACAAATTTAACTTTTTTATTTATAAATTTTATTAATTTCATCCTCAAGTACATAATCATCATCATCCCTACTAAACCATTCGAACCACCATCACCTCCGCTCTCCAAAATCACCACAGTTTCCTCATACTCATCAAACGCATAATAACAATTATTTCATTTTACAACATTTTTATTGAATCTTCATGTCAGACAAAAATCATATGTCCAACACCAAATCTATTCCTCAAAGGTAATTCAGATTTTAATCCAGATCACTGTTAACAACATCAATCTCATTTGACTCCACGTCATGACATTAGTGATTTAGAAAACGAAGGTGATGGTGGTTTAGGTGACTTGGCATAGGGGTGTAAACGAGTCGAGTCGAGCTCGAGTATTGCTGAGCTCGACTCGGCTCGAAAACTCGCGACCTTAAAATTTTTAAGCTCGACTCGAGCTCGAAATCATGAATTGAAGCTCGTGAGCAGCTCGAAATAAAAAAAAAATCTTAAACTTAACTATATTGAACCCTCAAACTCGAACTCGAACCTAAACCTCAAATACATGAAAGTCTTACTATATTTTTAAAAAAATCAACACATAAATGTTAATATTATTAATAATTTATTTTTTAAAATAAAATATTAATATATTATATTTTCGAGCTGCTTACGAGCTTTTCGAGTTGAGTATCAATTAGCTCGTTTTGGTTCGTTAAGAATTCGAGTCGAGTCCATTCGATCCGAGTATTTATTGAGCCTTGACCGAGTCGATCTCGAGTAGCTCGCGAACTGTCTCATCTCATTTACAGTCCTAAGTCTTGGCAGAACATGATGATTATGTGTTTGAAGATGAGAAAAAAATTTAAATAAAAAAGTTAAATTATTTAATTGTTTAGAATATAATTAGATTGATTGAATATGTAAATGTAAAGGATTAAAATTATTATTATCTTAATTGAAAATGTCATTTTTTTCATTATTTATTTAATGATCGATGACTTAATTGGTTAATTTTTGTAATGTTAGTGTTTTAATTAAAATTTTTATTTAGTGGTCAAAGTAAAATAAAGTTATAACTCAATGATGAATTGGATAATTTACTCCATTTCTTGTATTTATTAAAAGACTTAATGTAAAAAAAAGTATCCAAAGTTAACTTTAAGTGCTTAAAGATTTTTTTTGTTAAAAATATGTGTCTAATGTTTATAACGTTTCAAATTATACTCTAATTTTTTTAAAATTATAAAAGAACCTAAAATTTCAAATAACCCTAATTTTAATCCCCTCACTACCATTGGCCGCCATAATCGTCACCGATTTATTGAAATCTTGACGGTTTCCAACTGCCTAAACACCCAACGATCAAACCCTTATGATTCAAACTACGATTGCAGTAAAAAGTGGGCGATTGCAACGACTTATTGATCACAACTAAGGGTGATGATTCCAACTATTCCTCCCGTCGTGCCCTGGAATCCAATTAAATGAAGTAGCATGCGACAAAGGGCGATGACCAAGCCACATCAGCGGCGGTCAGCGTGGTAAAGAGGTTTTGAATTAAGATTTTTAGATTTTTGGGTTTTTTTTAGATTTAAGAAACTTTTGAGATTTTTTTTTCATAAATAAATTTAATAGCAGACAACATCGACATCGGATGGTAAAGAGGTTTGAATTAATATTTTTAATGTTTTAAATTTTTATTTAGATTTAAGAAGATTTTGAGTTTTTAAAAATAAATTTAACATCAAACAACATCGACTACATTCAACGTAGGAAAAAGAGTTGGAATTAGATTTTTGGATTTTTTGAGAAAATAACCTCAGTGACAAAAAATCCCATATAATATACGATTTTAACCAACTTTTTCCGGATTTGCCAAAATGACCAACAAAATCGCAATGTGATCGCTAATTCGCAACGCGATCTCCATTATCGCAAATCAGTTTCCAGAATCGCAACGCGATTATGACTTTCCCAATTCGCAATGCGATTTTCCCAATTCGCAATGCGAATAAGTAAATCGCAATGCGAATTTGGAAAATCGCAATGCGATACTGACTATCGCAATGCGAATTTGGAAAATCGCAACGCGGTACTGACTATCGCAACGCGATAATATAAAATCGCAACGCGATACTGACTTTCGCAACTCGATACTTAATTTCGCAACTCAATACTGACTT